GGAGAGATAGGGGGATGATGGGGAGAGGGCGGCTCTGTGAGGAAGAGGGTAGAGCAGAGTTAATTTTTAGAAGTAAGAGTCCATGTTAATGGAGTGGAAAGACACAGGAAACGGAAGTCCTAGCGGAGAGAAAGAGAGGGGGGGGATTGATGACGTAGATTTGAGTTAGATTAAATAAGGTTAGATTAGGCTGAGTTAGTAAGTAAGAAGTTATGTTTTTATAAAAATTGTAACCTCGAGGGGATCAATAAAGTTCATTTATCTATCTATCTATCTATCTATCTAGCAAAAATAATCATTATGTTAAAAAAAACACTATCTATGAAAATATAATTATTACATTATATATTAGTCTAGCTAGATATACTACTATAATACTTAAGTCTTTTTCATGACAAATAAGTAAACTTATAAAATATTTATATTTATCATACTACTATGGTGAAATATAACTTATAGCGAAGATATGAATTTTTTTATTACTTTTGCGATATATAGTGAAAAAACATTTTGTTACTATAAATTGTATACATATTTAAATTGTCTATAGACAGTCTAAAATGATGTAAATGTGATGGTAAAGCAGTATAATAAATGAAAATATTTTATTATTTTTTAGTCATAAAAATGGTTTAGATATTATAGTATGATATACCTAAATTAATAATTAATTTGGGCTTGCTTTTTCTCTCATATAAACATTATTTTTGACATCCTTAATAATCATACAATATGAAGAGTTGATCGAAATTGAAGAGGCCAAAAACGACCTCATATAGCGACACTTCTCCTTTAGTTAGTTTAAATAATAGGAGGGAAAATCTTTACTAAACAGAATTTACTAAACAGAACTGAACATGAAATTAACAAGATTTTCTCTCCTATATATTATAAATATTCTATTATAAATTTATTAAACAAAACTAAACATGAAATTAACAAACTTTTTTTCCCTGTAATTTTCCAGATTTTTCCTTCTAATCATTTATCTGAAATTATATCAATTATAAATCAATATTTCCTTGTAAAATATTCTTACCCGTATGTGAAAATCTCTGTAATACAAGATGAAATAATAAGTGTGAATTTGAAATTCTAAGATTCTAGTTCTGAGGTTAGAGATAAAAATTCCATCAGAATTTCGTTAAAAATCTATTTCTATAGTATTATACAATTATGTAATACGCTGTTATCTTTAATGTACTTTTTGCAATTTTTTCTTAATTCTCAAATAAGAACAACTTCTCTTACCTCGGGATACGTTACAACTATTTCGCCGTCAATCGGTTTTATGGCCTGAGCATTCAGTCCTGCAATTTCCAAAGTGTTCGGTGGCAATGGAATCCCAGAATCGAATGTAGAATGACTATTGAGTAGTACAATATTAATACTGTCTTTTTCTATTTCATGTAATGGTCTGATTGCATGGCCCACGTATTTCTCAGCAAGCCGTTGAACAGTAGGTAAAAAATAGTAATGTCGTATGAGATCATCCACAATGTAATATAACGTATTCCATGTTCTCTGCGATAAACCTATGGGTGTCGCAATGGCTACATACGTGTAAGGTCGAACAGTTGGATAACTTGGACCACCGATAAAATCCTTAAGCCAAGGTACAGGGCCAAACGGAATATAACCTACTATTGGTGGTTTATTTTTAGCAACCTAAAAAACAATATTAACGGAATAATAATGGAATAAATTAGACTTAAATGTCTGTTACTTTATTTAAATACATACAACCTGGTAAAAAATTATTAATGCGTGAATTTGTATAAATATGTATAAACACGCATAAATATTCATAAACATGTATAATTATATATAAAATATGTCCATACATGTTCATACATCCCTTTTTCTTTTATAAAATTACTTTTTAGCGTAATAGAAATAATAATAGTAATGTGAAAACATTAAAAATAATTAAAAAAGTAATTTTCGCATTATTTGTTAAGAAAAAATCAAGTTTGAAGAAACGTAAAAAAATTATTTATGTATAATTATATAGGAAGGTAACCTTTTTAAAAAAATGTAAAAAAAAAGGCGCCAAGTGTGCATGTACCTTCCATAAAAAACTATACTTTACATAAACTAAAAAAAAAACCGTTACATAAATAATATAGTTCAAGTGGTTGTTAATTTTTTATTATAAATTACCCCTCAGTAGTACGTATACATGTATTAAAAAAGAAATAAAATCAAATCTTTAAATTACGCTATTTGCAAAACGAATATATAATTTCTTGCAACATATAACATACTCGTATACTATTGTATTTTGTAAATTGCGAAAAGAACATATATTTTATTGCAATATAACATTTAATTAACGAGACAAAATGATACGTACCATTATCTTTCTATTCAAGAGTCTTTTATATTTGCAATGGAATACAACATTTAATCTAAAAAAAATTAAAGACGAAGCATCACAAAATGAGAAAATTTTATTAAAATAAAATTTTTTATGTAAAAAAACTTGGCTCGCTGCTAGACCTCAAAATATAATAAGATGATCATCAAATAATATCGAATAAAAAAAATAATGAAGAGATTAAGTAAGAAAATGAAATGGACTAACAATATACAGTGTGTGTGCGTGCGTGCGCGCGCGCGTGCGTGCGTGCGTGCTTGTGTGTGCGTGCGTGTGCGTACAAACAAATAATTAAAAATACCAAATATGAAAAGTAATGAAGAGATTTAAGAAAGAGAATTAGTAACATACAGCGTGTTCATATGTGCGACCAGATTTAGATAGGTATGCAGCTTAGATTTAATATAGAATACGTATTTATATGGTGTGCGTTACATATTGTAAAAGCGTATAAGACTAGTATAGAAATAATGATTTCAGATTTGTAAGACGTGCGGTTTAAGTTAAATTTAAAAGTAGATTTAAAATTAA